ACAGGCTAGCCATTTCACGAACAAAGGATTGAGCCCTTCCACAGAAAACCTGACATAACTCACGCCACAAAGAGGCACCACTTTGCCTAAGAACTTTGCATCCAGATCTGTTCACTTCAAAAAAACAATGGTTGTTCGTTTCCCCTTGATTCTGCACTTTTTTTGCACCTCTAAACCTTCAATGTTTTCAACCTCATGTCTAACTTCAAGTACAACAGCAAGGGAACTAACATCTACACAGTAGTTACTTTTATGTACCATCACTTTAAACGATTATAGAATAGCATGCTTACATTGTGTCTCAAGTACTGAAAACTAGAAAATTCATGATGTGTTTGACAAACTGGCAATGAAATTGGGAAACATTCTTTAGGGAGATATCCACATGAGAGCATACGTTAGTGAGTGAAGCCTGGAGGGCCCTTTTGGGAACTATATGTATATGCAAACAACACCCTGCCGATTATGCGTTTCCTTACTGCTTCTTTGGAGAAACCTTCTTCATTATTGCTTGAGCCAACTAAACTGTTCAGTTATTTCCAGTGACATCCTTCATCTGTGAAACTACACATATATTCATAGATGAGAACATCAAATACTGACATCGCATTTAAATAAATAGCGAAACAGATATTTATTATGTCGCATACAACCATTAGTCGAGGGCGCGAACAGAAAGATATAAACAAAAAAGAGAAGCTATATACATATAATTTTTTAATTAATAATAGAGACAGTTCAATATGTAACAGCATTTATATCACACACGCATGAGCGCTAGAATGGCTCAAACGCACAAACCACTAAACAATACACACATCACAGTGGGCACACGGAGCTGAGGGTAGGCTACAGCATAACAACCAACAGACAACTCGACTTAGCCCCACAACCCTTAGCCCCACGCACTCCGAAAAATGATGTTAAACGTAACAGCAAAATAAAGTCCCCCGCCAACAAATACGGAGTAACACTTGGGCCACAGACAGTGGCAGTTAGTAACAGGATTCATCGATTTGCAGTAGTCACTTGTCTGGAAATACCGAGAGACCTACGCAAACGCATTTTTGAAAACTTTTGCGCGTAGTGGATCGTCTTCTCCAATAGAAGGCGATCCTTTGATAATGTCTTCTGGCCAATCAGAATCAAGATAACGGCGTGGTGTTGTTGGCCAGGAAGTCCTGACGGAGAATACTTTTTTCTGTAAGTACGATCGAATACAACATTAGCGTGTTGATAGAAAATCAACACGTAATGGAAATAAGACCCCAGCAGGTTTGATGTTGAATAGGTGTGTGGGCTGTCCTTTAACATTTTGACACCACAGAACAATGTTTTATAATAAACATACATACATACATACCATAACATATCATACATAACATACATACATACATACATACATACATACATACATACATACATACATACATACTGTATGTTAAATGGATATATCCGCCTTCTTTCATTTATCTTTCATCTTTCCATTCCCACAACAATATACATAAAGAAAAGGCATATTTTGGACATGGTTCGAATGGTGATTAATCATGATTAATTAATTTTTAAGCTGTGATTAATCAGATTAAAATGTTTAATCGTTTGACAGCCCTAATTATTTTATATCTGAGCAGGACTCACGTGAGCCAGCTTAAAAGAATAAGAAATTCAAGTCATCGTTACATCATTTTCTTTATCCTGTTCTGTTCCCTCATCTTTCCCTCCGCCCCACACTGAACGGTCATAGCTTCGACAAACAGGCGCACGTAGAGGTCGGAGACCACCTGTTCTGAGTCGGCTGAACTGGTGAGGCGATATCAGAGGACACATCTGGCCGAAAACAGGCCGGATGGGAATGGCAGCATGCTCCCGGGCGCAGACTGCTGATGGATGACTCACAGCTGATGCTGAGGTCACTAAAGGTCAAATGGAGAATGAAAGGGTCAGTCGGGACATGGTTTTTCTAGGGAGTATGTAACTGCTGGGCGGGGATAATAATATAGTTAGAGGGTTGGCAGGGTACCTTGAACTCTGGGTGGGGAGGAAGGGTGCTTGATGAGTTATTTGGCAATCTGCTCACATATAAGAAAGGTCTTTCTAATAGAGTTTTTATATTTGCAGTATTCATAATTATTTGCCGTTTTATTATGAATGTAAACGGGTGAAACACGAGTGAATCCATGAGAAGTTTTACTTCTGAATTTCAACTTCAGTAGTTGTTTTTCATTTCCAGCCTCCATCTAAGGTTATGTATTTTGAAAAGGGGAAGCAGGCAGAAAATCTCAGCGGTCTGATTTGCGTTTGCTCTGAGCTACGTGTGATGGAGGTGTGACCAGTTATGGCCCAAGTCCATCAACCCAGTGTCAATATCTGTGACCCTAAGCAGCAGAGTGAAATATAATGTCTCTACTTCCTCTGAATAAGAAGCACGCACAGAAACAGGACCGAAGACAGTAATGCCATCAATCTTGTTGGATTGTGAAAGTCCCTGGACAAGAAACCTGGCCTTTTATATTCTGGCTCTAAAGCAATCCTTCCCATCTATAGGAAACAATGTGTGTGAGAATGTTTGTGTATCAACATATTCATGAACTCAGAATGATCCCCACCCCTTGTTTCAAAGTTCACTGTGTTTTTCCGCAGCCTGGAAGGGAGTGGAGTGATGAGAAGAGAAAGACAAGCGTGTCCTCAGAGCTCTCCTCTTCCTTATTCTTCATCAGCTTTCATCTCTCGGCCCTTCAGAGAGACTGAACCATAAAAGAGTCCAATCACTAGGGGACATATTATTTTCTCCCTGCTGCTTGAATACACTACATCATAGCACAGACCTATACAACTTCTCCTCCTCTTGCATAAATAACTCCCGACAGCCGTAGCTGGAAGTGTGGCTTTATCTATTGGTTGTGTGTGTGATTAACATAATAAATAGATTGTTTCTTTTTTCCTGGTGGAGTATGAATGGAGAATTTAAATAAAATGGGAGGAAAACTCACTCATTTTTCTGCAGCAACAGGATCAGCTGTTCACCTTCTGCACGAACCAGCAGCTGGAGTGACGCAGGATAGCTCTGAAACACAAAAAGATGAGAGGAGTGTTAAGGCGGTGCCTGGAGCTCACCCATCCTGCCTCTGTGAACCAGCGTCTGTGTGAAGCTTCACCTTCAGCTTGACACACTGGCTGTATACAAGCCAGGATGTGGCAACGCACAATAGTGTAAGAGGAAACGGAAGAAAGCGTCCACATCCTTCACTTCCCAAGTCTGTGCATGAAACTAAAGTTTGACTAGACTCAACTAAACCAATGACCGTAGTTGTATTGCTATACTGCTCAAGTAAGTAAGTACAGTATGGTCCTCATTTTTTCGTTGCTAGCCATGCAATGATGTAATTTTTTTGAGTAGCTTACACCTTTTAACAAATGCCCGTGCTGGAATTAAATTGTAACTAACTAATTAATAACAGCCTCACTGTTCACCCTTTTAATGCTTCAGTGCGTCAACTGGCAAAAACAGGGTGCCTTTAATTATTGACAGGCTGCCACAAATGCAGGTTATCTCTCTGGAAGGTTAGCCCTAACTGCGATCATTCATCAAAGAGCCCATTTTTGTCATGTAGTGATACCAGATCACATTTGATTATTGCAAGACAGTAATGGAACAAGAAGAAATTAGATATCTCTCCTGTTAGATGAATATTTTAAGATAACTGGCTGCACACCTTGAGCTCCAGCAAGGTGTCCAGCTGTTAGGTAGAAAACTCCTAGAGGTAGTTGCAGCATGAAGTCAGATAATTGTTGCAAATAACATGATGGGAAAAATGATCTGCTTGAGTGATGCTGAATAAAACTAGAGCATGAGTCCAGTATTCATCAGGCACCTTAATATTGTTATGAAGTTTCTTGGCAGAAAAACTGTATTTCAGTGCAGAAGCAACTGCCATGACTACGCTCTGTGAGTATATCGTATATGGCACTGATTTATGGATGCAAGAACCCAGGAAATGAAGGAGATGCAGGAGATTGTGCTTACATTGCTAAATGTCAGTTTGAGGTTCAATCTTATATCACAATTTAAAGTGGCAATATCCCAACAAACAACTCTAAGATGCTTTTCAGAAAAGAATGTTGTTATCAGAGTGAAGAAGTGCCCTTGCAGCCGGACAGAAACAGAGTGTTCATGCCTGAGGACTCGGAACATTTTATGACGTGAACATAAAGAAAAACAAGAAAAGAAAGCCATGAACTTTTCAAAAAGGATTTATGTAGAGAGACAGAAATTGCCAGTCGTGTGCAAAGAGAGGAGCAGACATAGATTTGTGTCTCATGTGTTGATACTTTGTGCGTACACTGTCCTGTTTCACAGTGACATTTCTTAGGTCTGCTAATTGATGCCTTCAGGCCGTACTTAGCCAGTCTCCGGTCTGCAGCTCTGTCTGAGAGTCAGTCGGTCTTTCTTTGCGGGGTTTGTGTGTGTGGAAAGTCGATGTCACTGTAAGTAATGACTCGGCAATACTTTACGGCCGCTTCATAACCTTCCACTGGCACAAGGAGCGGCTATATCAATCTGTTATATGGGGACGTTTAAGTCTTAGTGCAATCTCTGCTAGGACAATCACCATCTGCCCTGGAAGTCAGTTTAATTAAGGAAGGGTCAGCTTGTAGATGGCGTACTGTAAAAGCACGGGTCAACCAAAATGTTCAACAGTCAGCAGTAGCCGGGGGTTAGACAAATCTGATGCATTTGAAAATGGGCTGCATAACAAGCTCTACAAAGCTAAAAGCATGCCAATGTGACATGTGGGTGATAAACAATTCATGTAATTAACTTCAGTGCCCCCCTCAACAGACTGACTGAGAGAGGAGCAGAAGGCTGGAGAGAAAACAAATCTCTCAGATGGTGACTTGCCTGCACCAGGAAAAAAATGTTTGATTGCTCAGGGAGTTCTCAACACCTACGCATTTCCTCCTATGGAAAAGTTTCCTTCAGTTGTGGTGGGGGATGCCGAATTTCAAACATTTCCAGCTGCAAAAGGTGGTCTTGATTCCAGCGGGGGCTGATTTCACTATACACAGGCATGTTTTAAAATAGCATATATCTTATGGTGCAGGAAAGAAATGAAACATTCTACAAGGCTGCTTCACACCGTCTAATCTTTCTCACAGCGTCAGGATTGTGTACTGCTGACAGGTAAAGCTGTTGAAGGGATGACAAGTTCCAAGGAAATATCACACTATTTTCTTGCCTACTATGCAACTCATGCTCAAACAAAGGAGAGGGAGCTAGCATAGAGGGAAAACACAACAGGGAACAAACAGGAAGGGGCATTTCACTGAAGGAAAATCAAGCAAGCGGGGAAAGAGGAACTACTGTAAAGGAGACACATACTGTGGTTGTGTCAAACAAAAAGCAAGACATCTGTACTTGGCTCAGCTCTTGGAAACATCAGCTGTACTGCTGTGTGAGCAAGCTTCTTAGCATTACGCTAGTGTTGCACTGAGTGGCCTTGTGAGTGTTTACCCCGGTGGTGCGCTGGAAGAAAGGTCTGCGCTCCTCGCCCTTCAGCAGCAGAGGTACCGTGGTCCCATAGCGCTCTGGTCTGGCTGCTTCCCCTCGCTGTTTAGCCTTGTCTGGACTACTTTCTGTAAAAAGAACATCAGAACAGATTAAAACATCAGTGAGTCAATTAAAAATCCCACTGAAAAATGCAATGAAGGCAATGTATTAACTTTGTAAGCATGCAGACAAAGGGGGCAAGCAATGGTCAAAACAGCTCTTTAAAACAGCCCCTGCAACAAAGGCAGGGAATCCTTGGATAGAAAGCAGTTTGTTTTTTATTGTGGACTGAGCTGCTGAGAAAGAGTTAGAGTTCATTCAGGGGCCTTTGAGGAGATGTGCTGTCCCCCAAAGGGTCTCTACAATAAGAAAAAGCTACAGACACACATCAATAATAGATCCGCTCACACAGTTTTTGAGGGACTCAGCTTTTACGATAAATCTGCACAGGAAAGAAATCTTTAAAAAGATAAAAAGCTGGCAAGATAAATGTGTCCTTTCCACTTCTTATTTATCTTTTTACTTAAATAAATATATAAAAGGTCAGACACTGGCACTGCAGTCTGCTGTGTTGCCTTCTCTTTCCCACTTCCTCATTCATTCAAATCCTCTTTTAAACTCTGACTGAAGAGAAATTAACTTAGTTAGAAGAAGCCAATTATGCTAATTAGCCCTTCAAAGACTGCTCATCGGGGAGGCAAACAAAATGGGATGTATATATAGCATAGGATGAAATATAATAACGCGGGTGGCTTGAAGCAGAATATGGGAATCATAGTCACAATTCCCTCTGCTCTCTCCGTGTCTCTCAAGCTCTCCTCCCTCTTCTCCCACAGACAACAGAGACTGTCCCTGATGCTCCCACGGCCTCACAGAGCACGTCTGAATTGTAGCAGGCCCAGCAGGCTTCCTGTGAAGCCCAGTAAATGTTACAAACCCAGGGAGGAGCTGTGGAGATGAAGTGGAGAGGTAGTGTCAGAGGGGAGGGGGAGGTTGTTTGAGGTCTCACAATCCTGTTATCACCAAAGCAAGGCTGAGAGAGCGTGCTGCGCCTCTGTGTACTGTACGTCTCAGGTCTACGCTTGTTCCCTAATCCCTTAGAGATACGCACGTAAAGCAGCCGTTTGTCTGCGTTGCATGTACAGCGTCACGCAGGGTACAACAAGAGTTCAGTAGTACATTGAGCTGCGATACTACACTGACATATTTGTTTACTCTTCCCCCCTCTCCCCCACCGGCTGAAGACGTCTTCATTTTAAGCAGTCTTTTAAAGTCTGACGTTTATTTTCTTTGTATCTTTCTTTCGGTCCTGCTCCACCACAACTGCATTTCTTACATCTTCAAACGGTGTCTGACGGCGGGTGCCCTTCGCTCTCAGTGTGGCCCAGACTCTCCGTTTATCCACAGTGAGTAATAAGCTAACAAGGGCATAAAAGGGACCTCCTATATTTAATGAGGTATTTCAACATGTGCCGATGGTAGTTTGTTTGTTTTAGTGGTGCATGAAAACCCCGTTAGACAGATGGAGCAGCATGACTGAGACCACAGGCTGTGGCTAGTGCTAATAAATGGAGCTATAAAAGGGAAAGTCAGGCAGACGTCTTGTTAATAAAAGACCTTAACACGACTACCGTTGTCCCTTGCAATTCAATTGGATCTCTCAAATACTTTTGAGTTAATTTAAGTCATAAAACCATACCAATGTAGAGGGGACACTAAAGCAGGAGTATGCGTAACACAAACTAGTTTATATGTCATCAGACCACATCTGAGGGCAAGAGTGTTTATAGTTGTTCTGAACACTCAAAAGCACGAAAAGAGCCTGTCGCCAGAGAGGCTAGACACAATGAATCGCACACTTTGGGGCAATCTTTCCTGAGAGTCTTGTTGCAGTTGTTTGTTCTCGTGGAAAGCGGTAAAAAGGTTGTGTGAAGAATAAAAAGAAGAGCTTAAAAAAAGAATTCCAGATCACCACCTTGCACACTTGCAGCGGGAAGTAGGCATGCCTGTTTGATTGTTGTAAGTGGAAAATTACAAAAATATTGTATCCACCCCAAAAAAAGTTGCCATTGAATATTTAATATGAATGTGCGTGTGTGCCGTGTGGAAATGAGCTGCATGCCGTATGTGACTTTGTCAATATTTTTTGCGTGCATGCTTCAGTAAAAGCTGGATGACGATTAACGTTTCTATGCAACATCCGTCATTGCTCTCCAAAAGGAAGTATTCCCTTCAAAAAGCAAAGAAAAATTACATTCATGATTATTCTCATGGGCTTTATGCTCTTTGGGATCCTTTGAAATTCAAACCACAACTGGGTTAATCCCATATGTTTTTGGAGAGTATCTTGATTGCTAAGCCAACCACAGTTGTATCCCCATGTTGGCCACAAGGGGAAATCAGCTGCGGGTCATACATCTTAAAAACATAACTCTGTTTGGCAGCCAAAACATCTTTCCTCCGCTCTCTCTGTAAATAGCCTCAAAAACTAAATCTCTACGAGGATGATTTGTTTTTGCTGTTTTATCATAGCACCCCGAGCAGTAGCTTTATTACTTACTAACTGGTGGGTAACGTGAATTCAAACGGGGGCTGCAGTCCACTTTACTCAGCAGGGATACGACACAGACAAAAATATAAACAAACTAAATGAGCTTCAATTACTTCAGTCAAGCAGAAGGCGCCGCTGGACCCAAAATCCACCTCATTACTTGTTCTGCATGTCTCCTGCTGCAAGATGGGTTCACTTATATGTATATATTCATCTATTTAGTGATTAAAGCAGAGAACCATATGCATATTTTATTAATGTTCAAAGTGCACATGAACAGCATTATCTGTGTTCCCTTTAGTCTATTGGAGGAACAGAATACATTATTGTTCATTCACACCTAATAAGGTACCTGCGCTATCGACAGTTCTATCATGGAGCCGCTCCCTTGAGATGAACAGGAGGATAAACAGTGTAGTGAAGGTCAAACAGGCAGCTTGAAGGACGTGGTAATCTATAGGCAATGTATTCAGAGAACAAGAAAGTGAATGTCACAGCGGGACTTTAGCAACTCCCTCAAGCTGATTACCCTGAAATAAAATGTGCATACAGACTATGCAAGTTTAGTGTTGACCTTGGGAAACAGTTGGTAAAAATCTCAACACATCTCACAAGATCATGCTTTAAGCACACACATATTTAGGGCTGATCATTGATCTTTAATGTTCATCAATAAAACTGATGGTTTTTTTTCTCTCTATCGATAATTTAGCCTATGATATAAGAAAGTTGTGAAAAATGTCCCTAAAGTCCAGGCTTACGTATTAAAAATAATAATGTGTACAACTAACCAGAGCTACCACTGCATATTAATTAATTAATTGAATGCCAGAAAATAGTGAAAATATCCCCAAATCTAAGGTGATATCTTTGAATGCCTTGTACTGTTGGTCCAAAGCCCAAAGACAGTCATTTGAATGGATATCAAATGTAGAAATTCAGGACATTTCTATACTTGACAGGCTGAATACTTAATAAGTTGATCAAATATTTGTTTTACTGTTCATCAACTTATCAAAAAAAAATTCTCCCACTTTAAGAGATACTCAAAGAATATTTTGTTATCCAGATATATGCAGATGCAGGCAAGGCAAGGCAAGTTTATTTATATAGCACCTTTCAGCACACGGCAATTCAAAGTGCTTTACAAAATAGAATAAAAGACATTTAAGAAGAAATACATCAAAAACAAAAAATCATGTTGTTGCAAAGATAACCTCTGTCTAAGCTGCTCTTCACCACACAGGCCTTGTCCCTTTAGATTTCCACTCAAATATAAGAGCGGGGAAACATGATGGGCCCTGGGAGAGACGTGACACTCCAGTTATTATGAAGCGAAGGCCTTTAATAACAGCGCATTAGAGTTTCAGAGCTCTGATTATGTTTTGACAATGAAGATTTGATGTTCAATATCTGCAAGGCGGCTGCCAAACCAGCCCTCCATGCCTCCAAACGAACCCCTGGGATGTGTCTGTGAATGCATTCAAAGGGTGAATTTCTGCCAGCAAGGACTCTCTGGAGTAGCCCCCTTTTAGCAAAGAGAAAGAAGATGAAGGCCGCACGATTACTAAAGATGAGAGATGCCACACACAGAAGAAGTGAGTTCAACTGTTGAAATTATATTCGATTGAAATCTTGCTCCAACCCACAATCAGTGCTGCAAGTACCTACTGCATTGATCATTCATATTGATCAGATGATGGCCGTGTTTAAAGAGCCAAGGTGAAACCACTGCTTGGACATGGGTTAGGTGTCGTTATTAGTGTGGAGTAGGGCTGTGCAATTAATCGTATTTTAATCTCGATTACGATTTTGGCTTGCAACGATTACGAAAACAACATAATCAAAATAAAACGATTATTATAATTTATTTATTTTATTACTTTCTTTCAATGCTTTTTCATTTCGGTTATGTTTACAAGTGCATGATATAAAACCTGAGTCAAATAGAAAAACTAAAGTTATGTTGTGTTGTCTACCTTTAGAATGCTTCTATTCAATTATAAGAGGGCATATTGATTCAACTATCACAGATAGAAATTCAACAAAACGTTAAAAGCTTCACTAAAGTATAATTTATTGTAGGGCTATTGATCGTTTTGCGTTATATGATGAGCCAACATGTCAAACCACATTTATGTTTTTACAGCAAGGTTTAACATTTACAAAGCACTAAAGGAACAGTTTGACCTCTTGGGAAATGCAGGTATTTGATTTCTTCTACACCAGGAGTCTTCGAGCTGTAGATTTATGTATAAAGAACAGATGTAAGAGTTGTATTGATCGTCTAATCCAACTGTAAGCAAAGCAAAGAGGCTGCAGCGGTACGGGCTGAGGAGGCAGGTTGGCTGCTGATCAAAAGGTTAGCAGTTTTTTCATAAACTCCTTATTTTCACATGTCAATATTTTCTTGAATAAGACTCTAAACCTTGAATTGTTGAACTTGAATAAGGATTTTAGCCGAAGTTGTAAAAATGTTGGTAGTTATGTACAAAGAAACATATACATAGGAACAGAAAGTACATAGAGTGCCACAGTGACGCGTCCTAAAACCCGGAAGTAAGTTAGCATTTTACCACTTCCGGTTCCTTCAACAAAAACTAATGCAATTCCTCCATAGGATTTTGGAAAATAGCTCGAAATGAGGTCTGTGGTTGACACAAATTGAAGAGACAGATCACGTTTTGTTCAGCCGGATAATATCCACATGTCTACCCTACTTTTAGAATCATAAATCTAATCGATAGATTTATGATTCGAAAATGTTAAAAGTAGGGTAGACATGTGGATATTATCCGGCTATTTTCCAAAATCCTATGGAGAAATTGCATAGTTTTTTATCGAAGGAACCGGAAGGAGTTTACTTCCGGGTTTTAGGACGCGTCACTGTGGCATTCTATTTGTGAGTGATTTAAGCTTTCTAAATAAAATGTCAGCTGTTTTATCAGCTACCAGTTTAAAAATCACTGATACCATAATCAAATAATTGCTGATTGGTCATCAAGATAATCGGTCAACTCCTAAAACATCACAAGGACTTAGTGGGTAACACAAGGGTCATATATGGGATAACATTTGAGAAAGAAAGGAATAAGAGGAAAGGAAATAAAAGTGAAGATCTTAGTGTTTTTGGTATTTGTTTCACTTCTGCCTTTTACATTCTCTTACACAAGAAATCTGAGGATTAAAGATGCTAACCTGTTCATCTTTTCGGTCCAAGTGGAACAAAGGAGCTCTACACACACTTTAGTGGAGCTTCCTGTACACATCCAATTACTGATTTCGTATGAAAACACCACTGACCTAAATACAGCAATAGATGCTACACCTCCGTTGTGCCCTCGGAAATAGATTAGAGAATTGCGAATGAGGCCGCTTTGAAACGTGATACAGATATTCAGACTATCTTAATAGAGTCGTTCCTGGTAGTACAAATAGCCAGCTTAGTAACTTCTCCTAGAAAATCAACTCGAAGGTGATACCTGTGAGCATGCTCTGACATTTATTTAATTAGCTGGAAGTCAGAGACGCCCAAAGAAATACAACGATTTCAACATCATATTAACAGACTGCCTACCCTATTACATGTTGTTACAGTTCATCTAGCCAAAGTGTAAAACTCAGCACTGAAATAAAGCCTTGGTTTCCTTTCATAATAACAACTATTTCGTCCAGCACATCAAAGAGAGCACTTTACAATCCTCCCGCTAAAAGGCTCCTGACAAATCCTTTTAATAAAACAGAAAAAGTCCTGCTGCTGACGTTCGATATAATAATTGTTCCTAGACTAATAAAAGACCTGGAAAGTAGGCTGGATGAGTACAGCTTTAGCTCTGTGAAGCAGCGTTTCCGCCAGGGGGGCGTCTTGTCGTCATTTGACGCCCTTATTCAGCTCGGGACGCCCTGAACGCGAGCCGAGGGCGTCCAAAAATATTAATAATTCGAGAGAAGATCGGAGAGTTTTTATCGCTTGAAATGACGAAAAGGAAAAAGGACAAGGACATCCCTCTGTTGGAGGGGCAAAGGAGTCCGGCGGGATTCTTTTCGGAGTATTGAAGATCGTTTCCCCAACATCGAAGGTGCCTGCTACAGGACAACACGGAACGTGCGTGATTTGGACGCGATGAGCGGGTGGGGTTTTTAGTGGAGCACGCGCGTGAGCGCCGGAGCCTCGCAGCGGCGAAACTGAGGCTCCGTGGTAAACTGTGGTAACATGAAGAGCCCAAACAGCCGGCGCTTTAAGAGAGCCGAGCCAAATGATCCGGCTCATTAACGTAAAAAGACAGTATCTATAAGGGACGGCTCAAGTCAAAATTCAAGCACCCCCGCTCTCGGGGTGGACGCCCTCTCAGCCCTGGTCTGGCGGAAACACTGTCTGAGACCCATAGTATATGCCTAAAAATAGCATGATAGGAGACCTTAAGAAATGTTTTCTGGATCATCCAACTTTCTTTCCCTTCCTTTGTACATACTTATTGATGATGTATTGGTGAGAAGGCCACATCAGTTGGGGAGTTAAAACGAATCTAGTTGAAACGTGGTTTGTGGGTGTAGGGTAAAGCATGTGAAGAGTTTGTGATTCAGAGCTGAAGTGAACAGATGAGAGCAGGGATGTCTTTGGTGTGTTGAACATGTGTGTGTGGTTAATGTTGAGATGCTGTCAGCCCAGTGACAGACTATAGGAAACACACACAGACTGAGAGCATGTTCTGATAGCTGAGGTTAGAACAGCCAGATTGTTGCATTGTGATGTGCAGATGTAATCATCCTTTGACACGCAACCGGGATCATACTATGGCAAAAAAGTGATTATATGCCGTGACTGGAATTGACCATATAGTTCACTGCTGAAACGGTTCATCTGCTGTGCACATGGCACCTTGTGGAGCTACTTTTGTAGGGAAATGAAAAAGAGAGGGGTGCTGGTTTTAAGCCAGGCAGAGTGGCTCAGAGCATACGCTTTGAAAAGAAACGGGGAGGGAGATTGCAATATAGTTGAAGAGGATTTGAAGTAGAAGTGGAAACTCTTTCAGTTAAATATTTAGGCTACTGCAGCACAGGATGGAGAGGCAGATGAAAGGGACAGGCTGTATCACCATTTGCCTTGTGTTGTTTACCCTGTAGATATATGCGAGCATTGACTCAAACGTTTTCGTGCCAAGCTCAGAAAAGCTGAAGTGCAATTGGGAACACAAAGAAAGGGAATATAAACTATTTTTCAAGACTCCCCTACAACACAGATAAATATACACAGGCAATGGAGCATTGCTGTGTGGGATGATTGTGAATGTGCAATGAGGAATAGGTTATTTATTGTATTTTAAGTACAGACACAAACTAAAACCTGTTGATACAAGCCACCGACCAACCATGGCAATTTTAAATTATGTGATGAATTCAAATGTGGGTTGTTTTTTTTTGTTCTTAAAAGGAATTCATAAAGGAGGGCAAACCTGAGGTTAAAATCCTCTGCGTTCAAACAGTCAGGAATGTATGAGCCACACAGGGTTCACACTGCACCACAGACATGCTGTCTACTCGTGTATTAATCATCATTAGGCCAACATGAACCACAAAGCTTTTATGTGTCCATGTTTAGGGCTTCCACATTAAATTTGAATAGACAGAATTCTAATAAACTTGATCACTCTACTGGCATGGCTATTTTTAGTCTTTAATTGTGTGTGTGCCTGTGGTGGATCAGTAAACGTTTTCGCTTTGGCGCACACATGCAGACAACTAGTCTCCTCCCAAGGCTGCGAGCCCAGTGCGGGTCCGGTCTCTACTTGGTTAGATTACAGAGTGGACTCTGACGGCCCATGAGCCGAGGCAACCCGGGACATCAACACAACAGCCCTGATGCGGGCCTCAAATTGCATACTCTAGGAGAGCCAGTGACCACCTCCATGTTAGACCTAGTGTGTACCCATAGGCCACATCTAAATGTGCTCTCTATTTCTGAAGGGAATCTTCGTAGCCACAAGCAAACCATTTGCTCGTTTCAGAAGTAGGCTTCATCCTGTGCTGTGTGGTATTGTTGAATTGGGCAGAAGGGTGCCAATTAAGACTATACAAGTAATTGCATGTGAGTGCATGTTTGTCTGTTTACAAGAGAGAGTGAACAGAGCCAGACTGGCCGCAAGGTCCGACCAAGGCCAGGATGCAATGGACTGTGTCTGAGTGGAGTAACTCAAAGTACTGTCTTGAGGTCACATACATTGGGGATGGTAGCAGCCAACAGTGCCTTTGCTCCCTCGCTCAGCCATGAAGAGCTTTACAGACCAACATAGACTAACATAATGTAAGCCTGTACAAGTGCACATCGAGGGCTCAGATGTGGCTTGTTCCAGTGTGCTGAAATACTTTAGTCCATTAGCCTCTCCTACCCTCGCTGTAAATCCTCATCTCTTTTACATCGTGAGGGATTCTGGATAGCATGTTTCCATAAGTCTACCTGCAAGGCAGTCTACCAACTGGGAAATATCAACATTATCTCTGCTTATTCATTCATCTTAATCTCTACATAGTAGTTTTGGTGTACCAACCTCTCTCTGTCCTCCTCCAGTAGAGTGGTCAGGCAGGTGCTCTTATGGGTGAAACCCCTGTGGCTCCACTCTTGCTCCTCAAGCCTGTGTAAGGCGTCTCTGTGAGAGCGGGACACCTCCAGGAGCTGCTCCTGCATCCGTTGGGAGGAGCGCTGCTGGGCCTTCACCAAGTTGTTGAGCTGAGAAAAATGGGGAAAGCAAAACAGAGGAGAAGGTCATAGTATCTTACACAGCGAAAAGTTGCGTAGTGTAATGGGCGAGTGCCTCAATTGTATTTAAATGTGTTGCCATTACCGTAAAACCTGAATCAGAATACCTTTGTTAGTCCCACAGAGGGGACATTTACCAATAGAACAAAATGTAACGTTAAAAATAGAGTAAAACCACCTTTTTAAAGAATCATTTAATCAAAGTTACAATTGGATGCATTTTCCCATTCAGCCTTAGATGTGTCATCTGAAAAGTTAGGTTTTTGAGATTTAAGATTAAGGATTTAATTGTACACACTACAATTTAATTCCAACAATGTACAACATCTGCAGAGCTTCCTGTAAAAAGTTGTTGTTCTAAATCATAAAACTTCACTCACTTGAAAAATTACTTTTTTTGGTCACAGATTTATAAACATTGCAGAAGACTAGATCCAACGCAAGTAACACCTGTAGAGCAGAATAACAAATGTGTGCAATGATGCATCCGTAATAGATGCTCTTTTGTCTGACAGTAATGCATTCCCCTCATTTAATTTGTTCACCCGCTCCATATGGTGTCTAGTTTGCTGCTGTAGGTACCTCAGCCCTTGTTTTTCTGTACACATCCTGCAGGTGGTCCTGCTGGGTCCACAGGGAGTCTCTCTGCAGGACACGAAGCACCTTCTCCGGTCTGCTGGAACCATATTGGGCCCCCAGTAGAGCTGAATCTGTCTTCTCTGATTTCAACACAGCGATTACCTCATCTCTGGCCTAGAGAGACACACATTGCAGTTACTGGCTTATTTCAGTATGTTGGGAAACTGCAGTCTGCACACTTTATGTGACTTTTCATGAGCTAGATGCAGCTACAGAATGAATATTAACAAATCGTATACCTGTAGTTCTCCCTCCAGAATACTCAACAGAAACAATAAGTCATCACGGGACAGGTCTTCTTTTTTGTGTCTGGCCTCCAACCTCTCTCTCTTGTCTCGCGTATTGGCCCTCTGCACAGTGATTTTAGGGGTCTGCATTGGTTGGAATGGAGACTCTGAGTTGTGTTTCTTTAAATCATTTTGATTCCAAGAAACCATTTTGCCGCTTTTACCAAGTGGGTGCATGACTTTTGAGTCTACCTAGGAGAAAATGGAGAAAGAGCGTAGATCAAAGTAGGCAGCTTAACAAGAACACAAAGAGTAATGCGTGCTTCCGATCAAAAGAGGTTAAACAAGGTCATACGCTGTGTCATTACAGTACAAGTGGTTATTGTATGTCTTTAATAAGTGACCGGCTGATGCAGATTATATAACTCTTTGTGGGCTAATCCAAAGTCAGAAGGCTTCTTGTCATCACAGTTAGTGTTACTGAAACGGAGAGGCCTGCGCCTGGCATTACTTTATGTGAGGCTTATGTCATCTCATATTCGTACTCTTAGTACATTCACAGCAATCACTTTTAGCTTGGCAGACAAAAGTGCTGAAGGTTGCCAGAAAGTAGGTCCATGATTACTGACCACATGAGAGCAAGGGATGTGTGTTATTGAAGCAAATCATATCAGCGAAACTGCGTTAGCTGGCCAGCTTCCTCTGAGTTGGTGTTCTCATCCCATATTTAGAGAAAGAAAGAAAGGAACCAAGCAGGTTCATATTAGCGCAAGATGATGTCATCCCTCTGCTTTTCAGCTCTGCCTCTTAAGTTCAAGCTCTCACAGTGGCTGGGAACGCCTTTTATTCCCTAGTCGTTGATCAAGTTTCTTTAGTTAAGTTACTAAAGGCCATTGTTGGAAAACTCAACAAATTGCTAGATAATTGTGAAAAGCAATTAGGTCAAGTATAAGAAATGTCTTAAGAGGTATGACATTTCACTGCAGTTGTTTTAACACTTTTATTGAGACCACCTCAGACCTTTTATGGGTGTTTATAGAAATAGTGGCATTGCTTTCCTGTTTAGTAACAGCATTTCTTTGTCTCCCCTCTCTTTATTTGACTTAGCCATCCCTTCTCTTACACAAGCACACATAAACACAGACAGACAGCATCTTCTTGTTGTCAACATGGTCTAAGAGCAGCCTTGAGCCTTTCTTAACAAGATCAACACTGGTATAAAAGGAACAAACATTGTGAAAGTAAAAACACGTCCAACTCCTTCAGCTTGTTCAAACTGTAACCAACACCGTCCCTCCAATCCTTGTGAGAGTGTTGGCTGACTTAATAGATGGTGTCTGCATAGAAGTATTTTCACTCGGCCTCTATGTGGAAAGAAAGAGTGACGATCTCAGCCTCCCTCCCTTCCTCTTGATACCCTCTCGGTATCAATCAGGAAGAGGGATGAAGCTGTCTTAGCTGTCCCTGCGTTCCTTTATTCGACTTCTTTCCAGAGAGAGGAAGGGGTGATACTGAGGCTCTTAACAGCCTGAGGAGTATATAGGTCACTTTTAAACAACATGCGGCATCAATCCCTAATGATATAATGTACTGCCTTCACTCAAAATGAGTATATATTTAATTAATTTGGCATTCTGTTTCAAGAGGCTTGGATTCTAAGAAAGAAAACGGTTGACGGTTTAGATAAAAGATAACCAGCTTCAGTCAGCCCTAATAGGTTAAGTGCCGGGTTGGTACAGATCAAGACATGACGACATGTATGGAGGCTATGTGAGCTAATGATCTATGGCGTGTATTCTCTGTGGTGGCCTGGGGCATGTTTTCTTTGGATGTGAGTGTATATCTTTTTCTTTTGTCTGATGGTTCTGTTAATGTGAGCAGTCAAGCTAAGACATGTGCCTCTGTGTCCTTGCTCTTGGCCTGATGGTGTCTGAACACCTCACAATGCTCACACACACGTGCACACACACAGATGGCATTAGTCAGACTATGTTCTCCTTTAGCGTCTAGACAAGCGCACACACACACACACACACACACACACACACACACACACACACACACACACATGTGAAAGTACACACACACACACACACAATGCCAGGCATGTGAAAGTACCTCCAAACTTTAAGTTTTGGCTCAGATCCAGAGTCTGTCTTAATAATGGTTGACAGCGTTGTCCCAGCGAGGGACGTCCACTGGCAGGCAGGTTGGCAGCCGCACATGTGGCCGGCCATCTCTGTTTATTTATCTGAACACCTCCCAGGGCAGCATGCCTGCATCCCTGCTGCTGCCTGCCCCCGTCCTGCCTGCCCCCGTCTAACTCAAAAAGACACCGGCTGCTCTCGGAAACATCTATTAACTCTTCCATTCGAGTCTCTCAAAATGAAACAGGGCCATGGGCTGGGACCTTTGAAATGTCCCACCACTTTTGTGACATTTCAAAGCAGCTCTTTCACAGCTGTTAACGCAAATTAGGGTCCATCAGCTTTATGCAGCTATCACAAAAGCGCTAAGTTGGCATGTTTTTAACATTTTGTTTCCAGCCCGGGGGCCTCAAACTACTTTCCAAAAACCCGGGACACAAAAATGTCTGTTTCACATTGACCAAACTGACTATACCATGG